AACGCAGTCTTTGTGGTGACAGTACCAGCTTGAAGCAGTGCCCAGCGCTCTGCCCTGCAGCCCCTCAGCCAAGACAACTGTTTGTGCAGCTGTGCAACGTACCCAGTTAAGGACCTGACCTAGTTCAGCCTTCAGGCCTGCAACCATATGGTAAAGTAAGGCAATAGCAAAAAAATGCAATTCTACCTTTGAATGCCCCAAAACTCCAGAGATGAATTCAGCTGCTATAGCAGAAATGATGCTGAAACAAAATCAGCTCATCAGGTAGCTGCAGGTATTGTTCTGCGGCAGGGCAGGAATCCTTGCAGCAACTGCCTGTGTGAAGAACCTGTGGTTTAAATGTTGGGGCATCTTGTCCCTCTGAAAGAATTCACTTCTGCTTTCTTCCCTTTTCCAAATTTCAGATCCTCATCTCTCCCTCTGCTCTGACTCCTCCTGACACACAGGTCTCAAAGCTGCTGCCCTAAAAAGGTTTGAGTTCCCTTCCCTGACACACACAAGCACTTTTGAGAGACTCAGGAGAATCACTGATGTGGACATTAGTAGTAGAACAGCATTTTAATAGCAACAGCTGCTAAAACTAACTCTTCTTTGCATAGGGAAGGGGAATAAGATTTCTGGACTAGCTGTTGAAGGTACCAATTTTTCATTGTTGTGGTTAAATTGGGTTTGATGTGTGGCTCAGTTACACAAGGGACAAGCATGGGCAGAACTGCCTGAGGGAACACACAGTCAGCAGTGTGAAGTCTAATCCTCACCCCTGCTTTTAACCCATGAAACTGCCCCAGCAATACTGATGTTGCTGCTTGTACCCCTAAACTCCTGTTTTCCCACATCAGGTACTTGTGCAGGGATGGTTATGGTGCTACTCTTTATGAAAACTGCCAGAATCAAAACAGCTAAGTGAATCAGGTCTATCTGATGTTGCCTGTGCTCTTCAAAGAATAAGGACTTGCAAATCTGAAGGCACACTGCGACTTCCTCCTAACCACACTGTTTCTGCTCATTCTGACTCTGGGAGTTAAAAACACCAGCACAAGTCTTGCACCACCTAGCATCAGTGATGGCTCCTAGTTTCCCCCCAATAAATCCTGCATAAATTCAGCAAAGAAGCTCTAGCTGCAGTCTGCCTCTGACTTGGTGACATGAATAAGCCTGACACAGCACCTGAACCAAAATACAGACAGTCCTGTGGAGTGTAGGCTCAGCCCACACTTAATCCACTAAAGTAATAAACTTTAAACATTATTTTAATCTTTTTTTGGTTTACTGTGGTATGTCTTTTATAGCCTGTCAAGCACCAGAAGGACTTGCTTTCCACAGGGAGGATTTAGAGCAGCAGCTGTACACAGTGCTCTCACATTCCCTGCTGCCAGCGGCCGCACACATTCCCTGTTTATGTTTGGGTGTCATACAAGAAATCAATCAACTTTTTTGCTAAAGCATTCTGCTCCCTCTGCTTTGAGTCTCCTTTTTCCTCTTCCACCTTACTTTTATGCCTCCCCCTCCCTCCAAGTTTCTTCAAAGCATCTGGGAGCATTTGGAAGTAATTAGACCTGAAGGGAAATGTTGGCCAGGCTGGGAGACAATGACAAGTGCCAGGAACCCTGGGTGCCCTTTCTAGCCACTTTGAAGTTCATTCAGATGGTACAAAGCTCCGTTTTGCTTTGTTGAAAAAAAAATGGTAGGAAGGGAATGAGGCATGACAGGCCCATTGAAAAGGGAGCAGGTTCCTGTGAACTGACAGAGACCAAGTGCCGGGACAAGAAACATTATCAAAGGGACCGACCCAAAGGGCTCCCACGGCCACTCTGCTTTATTACATCTACAAATTGTGCAGATGTGCACGTAGTGCAGGGAGCAATTGTCTATACAAGGAAAATGGAAACCACGGTACTGCTGTACCATGGAACCCCAGCTCTCCGTGGGTCACTGACCCATGGAGAAGACTCCAAGTAAAATCCAGCACCGTGGCTGCCTTGGCACTACAGAGTTCATCTCCAGGGTAAGGGCAGTTCTAACCAACATTCATCCCCACATGACATCTGCAGGAGTCAACGATCCAGGCTGGGGCACAGCTACCCTGCTCCAGGAACACTCAGACCACCCATCAACTGTCACATGAAGAAACCCCTTTACTGGATGCTTTTCCTTGCGGTAACTGTAATTACTGATGTTAATTATATGCAGTGAAAATAAATCATAGAATCATAGAATTTAAGGGTTGGAATGGACCTGACAGATCATCTAGTCCCAACCCCCTGCCCTGGGCAGGGACACCTCCTCACTAGATCAGGTTGCTCAGGGCTTCATCCAGCCACACTGCCAAGGCTGGGGCAGCCACCACGTCTCTGGGCAACCTGTGCCAGTGTCTCACCACCCTCACAGGAAGAAGCTTTTCTTCTCACATTCAACTGGACTTTCCCTCCCTCAGTTTGAACCCATTTCCCCTTGTCCTATCACTGCAGTTCCTAACACAGAGTCCCTCCCCAGCTCCCTTTTAGGCCTTAGGGCAGAAACAACCTCCACAGAAACAAACTCCACAGGCATTCCATGAACAGATACGTGTGTTCTCTGTTAACAAGATTCTGCAGCTGAACACAACACAAGTGCAGCAGCCCAGGAGATTCACAGGATCTGAAGTGGTTTAAGTGACCTCTTCACTCACTTTCCAGCCATCTATGACCAGAATTATCAGCAGCACTAACCCTACCCAGCAAGAAGCAGAGAGAAGTCTTGTTCCAGGCATCACTTAACAACTACAGGTAAAGCTGAACCAGATTGTACCTTGCTGCTAGAATCCAGGCAGCTAGACTCAAGAGGTCTCTGAAAGTGTAACTGGGAATATTTGAATTTAAAAATATGGATAGAAATGACGTCCTTCACAGAAAGTATATAGGAATTATGTTCTCTTAATTCTCTATTCTTATTATTTGCATGCAAGAAACCTTAAATTTAAGCTCTAACCTTGCTCCTGTAGTCACAAAGACCACAAACAGGTCTTCCACTCCTCCACCAGGTGCAACTGGCATCCGGAATAGCAATTCTTTATTTATAGCTAATGTTCATACAGCTGAACTCTCTCCAGGCCACCAACAGTTTCTTACACATTCTGAGTAAGTTCATCAGGAAAGGGGCACAGCTGATGGCTCACTGATCCAGCAGCCCAGGATGCTTCATCTCTTTCCACCTACAGAATAAACATAGGAGCATTAAAATATTTGACATGTAATTTGCACGGTCTCTCAATAACAAGATCTGATGATGGCTGAGGGTTCTGGACAATACTGGGCTCAGACAGCACTGGGAACCACATGGAAGCACTTAGGGAGACAAAATGGTAAATACATCATAAATTTCAGAGCAGGGAAATTCATCCTACACGTTATTAACATGCATGTTACAGCATGTTATTAACCCTTCGTTCCAGCTGTTAATCAGAAACCTGCACAGGTAGGAGAGATGATATTTTCTACTTTATCCAGATAATCTTTCCTTGGGAAAGAAAATTTTAAGTGCAATGTTTCAAGAACACTAGAAATGAGAAACAGCAAAGATCCTGTTTGCCACTGTATCAGGGTCTCAGCACCCAGGCCACAGCACCCACTGCCACCACCAGCTGGGAGATGTTCCAGAGCACGAGTTTGAACCACAGCAGGGAAACACACCTACCCACTGTTAGCAGCCTTCAAACCTTGTGTTCTGCTTGCTGGAGCTGATGGCCCCACAGTATCTTCCAGGCACAGACCCTAAAATTCTCACCCAGCAAGTTACCATTTGGCATTATTAGCCAGGGAATTCCATAACACTTACTAGTTCTATTACCCTTAAGAGAGCTGACAGAATGTTTCCTTTTCTTGTTTCCCCTATTTTTT